TGGCGTGCGGCCACTCACACTCCCTTAGCTATCCCGGCCAGGTTTGGGAACGTGATCCCTCCCCGGGTACGCTGCGCTCATCTCCTTCCTTACCTGGCGCGTACTGGGCCCCGCATGGCCCCAGGAGGACTCCCAAGAACATCCCAGCGGCTGCAGGGAAGCTACGAGCAACGACCATGACCGTGACTGCAGCCTGAGAGTCCACGGAACAGGCTGATGAAACACTGGATGAGCAAGTTTTGCTTTGAAGGGGAAGATAGCTGCTTTTATTTGGCTCAAAGGGGGTGGAAACCTTACCAGGAAGGGCGGACCCACAGCAATGGGTGGGGCAAAGAGCGGAGAATGTGGAGGAATCTGTGTTTATTCTCAACAAACCAAATACAGAAATCAATTATGACCTCTTTCCTCGGAAAGACGAATTCATTCATTCAACCAAGTTTTGGTTTTTCTTTTTTTTTACTTTTTTAAAACTTTATTTCCTAACATAGTCCAATAAGAAAGATGATTATGATTGTACATGAAACTGCAAATCTACTATGCACAACTTGCTACTCCTTTTAAATATACATTATCATGTAAATCTTTTTTTCCTCCCTCCCCACCGAGATAGTTACCATTAGACCCAAATAGGTGTGTACGTACGTACGTATGTATGTATGTAAAATTATTCTATACATAATTCTATTTATCAGGTCTTTCTCTGGATGCAGACAGCATCTCCATATATTCTTTATAGTTAATTTGGGTATTTTTAAGTCAAAATAACTTATTTGTTCAGTGGTTCTTAAAACAATATCACTGTTACCCATATATGATGTTCTTGGTTCTGCTCATTTCACTATTATCTCCGCAAATCCATGTTTTTGGTTTTGGGGTTTGGTTTTTTTGGGGGGGGGTTGGGTTTTTTTTTCCCTTTTCGGTGAGGCAATCAGGGTTAAGTGACTTGACCAGGGTCACACAGCTAATAAGTGTCACTTGTCTGAGGCCAGATATGAACTCAAGTCCTTCTGACTCCAAGGCCGGAGCTCTATCCATTGCACCTACTTCTTCCACGGTTTTCTAAAATCATTGAACTCATCATTTCTTACATCACAGTAGTATTCCAGCACAATCATATACCACAACTTGTTCAACCATTCCCCAATTGATGAGCATATCCCTGTGGTTTCCAATTTTTTGCCACCACAAAGAGAGCTGCTATAAACATTTTGGAACATATAGGTTCTTCTCCTTTTCACCTAATTACATTCAGAAATAGACCAAGTACTGAGCACTTCTTGTGTTAGCTGCTCTGTAAGGAAATTTCTGGATAGACAAGTGCCATTAAAAAATCATCTTACCCGCAGAGGAGTTGAAGGTGCTGGGGGTGATCCCTGGATGAAGAAAAGCCAAGGAGTGTTAGGACAGCTTAATATGAGGGAGAGGGGGGAAATGCTAACAAAGCCATCGTCCAAAAGGTGAACAAACTGCCTTGCTGAGCAGTCAGGAGAAGCTGAAGACCACCTGTTGGGGATATTGTAAAGAGCATTGCTGCTCAGTTATGGGTTGGACTACATGAGCTTTGAATTCCCTTCCAACCCTCAGGAGATTGTTCTAAGGGCTGACCTGTGGCAGAGGGAATAGAGTCCTTTGCATTTTTCCAAAGGTCTGAGCAAGGATGGAAGTCATTCAGCTTAACATGAAAAATCATTTCCTTATGCCTGACACCATCTAACAATGAAACAGATTTATGAGGTCCTGAGTTTTCCATCCCTGAAAGTGTTGCAGCACAGTCAGGACATCAGCCTATCAAGAATATTGTAAAAAAGAATCCTGAGGTTAGACAAGAAACCTCTTCAAACTCCTAACTATATGTTGGTGTACAACAAAGAGCATGGTGATCATCATCAAATGTGAGTCCATAGAAAGTTACACCAAACATCACATTTTATCTGATTTTCTGTTTAATCAAATTTAAAACAAATCTATACAAAGGATGACGGGAACAACATTTTCTAAGAAATATTGCACTGGAGAATATGAATTTTTACAACATATGTCCAAAAAAGAAAAGAAATCCATACACAAGTTGAAAAGTTAATGCTTGAATCTGTGTCTTCTTGACTTAGTTAACAAGATTGCAAAGCAATTATTCATTTTTAAGTGGTCCAAACAAAGTACAAGCCAATCTAAATACAGTGGTGCACAGATCATGTCAGTCCATTTTAAAGGTCAATTACAGCTGAGCCTGTCCACCTTAAAAAATTGGTACACAGGGCTGCATTTTAACACCTGAAGTGCACAATCTTGAGAATCCTTTTAAAAAATTACAGAAAATACAATCTAAAGGATATTTAATCAAGCCCGTAAGATTTAAAATAAAATTGGTGAACTATCAAAAAAGGTTTTAAAGAACACAAGACAGTTATGCTAAATGTATATTAAGCAGCATTGGTTTCACTGATTAAAAGGAAAAGGAATAACAATCTTTTTAAAAAAGAATATGAAACTACACTGAAAACAGTGAGTAAACTTATTCCTTCCACACTTATTTCAGACAACCAGACACCTTCCCAAAATGGTTTTTCCCCCCCAATTATAGGTTCTTGATGCGTGGCCAGCACTCATGGCCACTTCTAAAACTTTCAATGACTTCCAAATTCAATGTATGCGAAAGGTGCCAGACAGCCTTAAAGATGGAAATGTCTAAAGAACAGAAGTCACAATTTTTGATGGCAGTCCTTGCCCTATTCTGGCATATAAGGATGTGCCCAAGGAGTATGAAAGGTAATTCAGTCTGCAAAGCCTTTTCAACACCAAACTCAGATACAAAGGAGATAGGAGGAAAGTCATAGGAAGTAATGGAAGAGGACCCCAGAAATGGAGAACACTCAACTTATTTCATATTATCATGTTATTCTACAAAAATGCAACATCATTCTTCAAATCATGTCCTCAAGGTAAAAGATTTAGCATGTATTTTTGTCTTCTACACAAATCTCTTGAAACAGAAGTCTATTTTAACAAGTTTTTTAGCTTTAATTAGGATCACTGTAGGGTGCACTCCCAGGAAGAAAAGATCAGCCTTAGCATTGTGAGGGCATAGACATACTGTATGAGAAGTTCAATAGCTATTGTTTTGAGGTTGTTGGTGGTGACATATCAGGCCAGTTGGAGCTAACAACTAAAATCAAGAAGGAATTACTTCCTGCTTTGCTCTTTCCTACAGACTGGTAGGATGTGCTGCAAACGCTCTAAAAACCAGGGAAAGGCAAGCAAACTGGATTTGGGAAAACTGATAGGAACCACAGAAGGGAAAGAACTTTATTATATTGCCTGGGAGTGGAAGCAACGAATCAGGAAAAGGGCTCAAGTCTTTTTAAAACAGCAACAATGACAACAACAAAAAAAGTGAATTAGGTTTACCTCACCAACATATGGGCATGGCTTTATATTACGAAAAATATTTGTAGTCTTTATCACCAATTGAAGAGGTGGAAAATATTTGCTATCATACACCAAGCGTGGGAGATGGGCTCTGGTTTGTTTTCATGACCATTATTATTTTAATGGAGTAAAAACCATCAAGGAATTGGACAAGAGGCATCTACTCGTTAGGGCCTTTACTACACTGTGGTGCAAGCAGGTATTGGTGCCCCTGGGTTCCCACCTTCCCCCATTAGATTTCCCCATGAAGTCCAGTCTTATGGATCAAGTTAGAGATTTCTCTACAGGATGAACAGTCTTCCCTTTGGCAACGTGCAGAAATCCAAAAGGCGACCCTAGAGGAAAGGATCCTGCTTGGCAAGAGTAATATGATAATTTCTTCAAGGAGCCTTTTTTCTTTTCCCAAGTCCAACTTCACCTCTCAAACAATGCCAATGCCAATGAAAACAAAATCCAGTTATACTAAGGGAGGAAAGAAATGCAGACAGGAAACAAAAAAATAATTCATCTAGGAAAAATTCAAGCCAAAGAAAGGAGTCTCAACATATGTGTTATGTTTTCTCCTATAATATTAAGTATACGTAAATAGTTTTAAAATCCATGTTTAACAAAAAGGAAACAAAATTACTACAAAATGATGCTTAAAACATGAAGCAGAATGGCAGGTATTCATATAAAAAGCCATAATAATCACAAATAAACTACTTCTCTAGTAATTCAGTAACTTACTGCCCTAACACTAAACAGGGAGTTTGGGGTGGGGGGGGGGGGTAGTTTGAGAAATACAAGAAAATCAAGGTGCTACTAATATAATAAAATGGCACGTACAACTGTTGCACCATCTTTCAAAAAGATGGTTAAAATTGAAGACCAAGAAAAAAACAACAAAATTTGGACAAGCTGATTTATGAAGAATGTTTCACAGAACCAGGATGAATTACTTTTCTTCTCCCACTTGTCAAGTACACAGACGAGCCATTAACTTGTGGTAAAGTATGAGGAAAATGAATTGTTTCTATCAAAGCAAAAAAATAATCCAGTGAAGAGTCAAATTGTACCCATTAAATAAAGAAAAGAGCCCACCAACTACCCACCATCAACACAGAAATTTATCATTTTAAATACAGAAAATTTAGGGACATATACAATGAATGCAGAAAGGCAAATCTGCACAGAAAACTCCAATGTTATTTCTTGTGATATCCTTTTTTCAAGAAAAATGATCATCAAGGGCAGCTAGGTGGCACAGTGGATAGAGCACCGGCCCTGAAGTCAGGAGGACCTGAGTTCAAATCCAGTCTCAGACCAAACACTTGACACTTACTAGCTGTGTGACCTTGGGCAAGTCACTTAACCCTGATTGCCTCACTAAAAAAAAAAAAAAATGATCATCATTTGAATAACATGCAGAGTTTTAAAGACTCTTAGGAAGGAAGGCTATTACGCAGAAAAAACAACTTTGTAAATGTTTAGCCCACAACAGAGCTGGTATAATGCATTTACCTTCATTATAACTAATGTTACCAAAAATATTTATGCTAAAGGCTTTACATAGTAAGAATGTGAGGGACATATAAACATGAATGATCGTTACTGTTCTGCATAATTCTTCAAGGCAATTAAAAAAAATCAAAAGCTGAAGTTCCAAAGTTTTGTTTTGAGGGGTACTTTTTTGGTCTCAGAAACAACAAGCAGGGTGGCAGTGCTAGAAATGGAAAAACTTGACCCTTGGATCCAGGTTCTCGATCATCTTTTGTTGGAGCCATACACATATGTTCTAGGTTAGTTCCGGGATTCTCCTGAGAACAGATTATTATTCACAGCTAACTCCTGGGTTTTTTTGTTTTGTTTTGTTTTGTTTTAATGGGATCTTATCCCTCAGCCATCAAAATTTGCTTTTAGAAAAGGGAGTCAAAAAAGGTAACTAGAGTTTTAGTAACCTTCTCTCCCTTCACATTTTTCAGGAGATAATGAAGAAAGATTGCCTTAAAATGTTGCTAAAAACAAAATTACAATTATCCTTTTGATGATGCAACAAGTAGAGGCAAGGAATAGGATATTTTAAATTTAATTTCTTAATCCACTTTAGTCTTCCTTTTTAAACAAAAAAAAAATGAACCAAAAATGTATAAAGTTGAGGCACCAGGTGGTTAAGGGTGAATCTGGACATGTTCAGCCATGGCTGCTCCCTCCTGAAGAGGAGAAACATGCTGTGGTGGCAAAGGCTGAAGGTGGTCACTGCCTAGAGAATGCTTTTCTGACTTCTCCTCTTGCTGCTGTCCAGCTGTAAAACAGAAAAAGATCAACACATATCATTGCAACTAGTAGCAGAATGAGGTCCCAAAAGACTTCTCTCTCAGAAATAAATCTTTACTGTTTGCTTTTGGGGGCTATATTGTCATGAAAAAGTTTCAACCTGGCACTAATATGAGAAGTTTTTAAAAACCATTTTCCTCTATATGTAAAAAAAGTAGATTTTTTAAAATAAGAGCCATTCAATTAGCACAATAATAATTCTGAGTCAGCAAATCTGTGGGAAATTAAAATACAGATCTATAGTTCAAAGATTTCCCCACTTCTGCAACGCATTTTTAAATAAGGCAAATACTTTTGAAGAAACCAGCAAATAATAATTTTTTTTTAAAGTCTCTAGTATTACTATACTTTGCTAAAGGATACAAAGCTTTGGACCATTCACAGGATACAGTGTGGAAAACAAAAATATACACTAAAAAACAACATCAGTATCTTCTAATAGGGTTGGATTAGTCTATCATCACATCTTCTGAAATGGACATTGTTAATTAAATCTGAATGACATCAGACATTTTCTAATTGCCAATAGCAATCACTTGAAAATAAGACACTTTATTTGGAACTATGCCCAAAGGACTCTAAAACTGTGCATATCCTTTGATCCAGCAATACCACTACTAGATCTGTATCCCAAAGAGATCCTAAAAAAAGGGGAAAGGACCCACATGTACAAAAATATTCATAGCAGCTCTTTTCTGTGGTGGCAAAGAATTGGAAATTGAGAGGATGTCCACTAATTGGGGAATGGCTGATCAAGTTAGAGTATATGAATATAATGGAATACTACTGTGCTATAAGAAATGATGAGCAGATTTCAGAAAAATTTGGAAAGACTTACATGAACTGATGCTGAGTGAGGTGAGCAGAACCAGGAGAACATTGCACACAGTGACATTGTGTGACGATCAACTATGATAGACTTAGCTCTTCTTAGCAAGAAAATGACCCAAAACAATTCCAAAAGACTTATGTTGGAAAATGCTAACCAAATCCAGAGAAAAAACTATGGAGTCTGAATACAGATTGAAGCATACTATTTTCACTTTTTGTTTTTTGTTTCTCGTGATTTCTCCCTTTTGTTCTGATTCTTCTTTCACAACATTACTAATGTGGAAATATGTTTAACATGATTGCACATGTATAACATATCAGAGTGCTTACTGTCTAGGGGAGGGGCTGAAAACTATCTTTACATGTAATTAGAAAAATAAAATACCATTAAGTGGGAAAAAAAGAAAATAATGCACTCTTCTTGCCTGAGGGAACATGATTTGTTAAGATAAGAATTCCTTGAGTCAATAAATCAATTCAACTATTAACTCTCCCTGGAATAATCTGACTTATTACATACTTTACTAGCAACTGTCAAATATCTGTCTCAAATGAGACTATGTATAATTATAGGTGCAAACAAACCATTCCCAGGAAACATCTCTAACCAAAGAATGTGTATGTGGTATGCCTGGTTCTACAGGGAATTAAAACTCAGCTCCATCCTCACCCTGGCTTAATCTCTTTCTGCTATCTTCCAGGCCTGCATTAAACTGACCATTACAGTTTTCAAGGCAAATCATGGCTGCCTTTCACACAGAAGTTCACAATAGAACATTCCCTCGTTATAATTCAAACAGCAGTTGGCACAGGAATACCATTCCATCTCTAGTATTGCTGTTTCAGTTTGAAAAAATGACATAGGTCTGCAATTCTCCCACTGTAGTTAACACTAATCAGACCCTTCACAGAGTTCTATTTCTAGTGAAGTTCACAATTTGAGAGAAATTGAGAATTTTCAGAAGCAAATAACAAAAGTGATACAAAGTTCAGACAGGAGAAGAGGGAGACCTGTAAGGAAAGGTTCAACCTTATGGAACCATCAAAACTCAGGTCAATTTAATATTTTTAAGGGTTCTTAAACACAAAGAACAAGCCATCATCATCAACAAATATTTACTGAATAAGGAACTATGCTGTTCTACAAAATAGGGCTCTCCTGTCCAAAGAGATCAAACTAAGAGGAAATGGGCCAATACTGCAGCAGAAGACATTCAGTCTAAAGGAAAAATTTCTAGATAGTGAAGGTTGCCAGAATAATTGGGGTTAAAGTTAGAGTTCATTTATTCAATCTTCATCCTCCTTGACCTCTCCAAAGACTCTGACATTGTTAATTATACATCTCCTAGATATCTTCTCCTCCTAGAAAACCTAGACACTGCTCTATCCTGGTTCTCCTCCTATCTGTCCAGTCTCCTTTGTAAGAACTTCATCTAGGTCATGCCTACTTTTGTGAAGTATCCCCCAAGACTCTGTCCTGGCAGTCCCTCCTTTCTCCTTCTTTACCATCTCACTTGGTCATCTCATCTATTTTCATGGATTCACTTCTAATCTCCATGAAGACGATTTTCAGATTTATTTATCAAGCACTAACCTCTCTCTTGACCTCCAGTCTCCAATCTCCAGTTACCTACTGGACATCACAAACTGGCTGTCCCACAGACATCTCAAACTCAACATGGCCCAGACTGAACTCATTAGATTTCCCTCCAAACACTTTCCCCTTCCCAACTTCCCTTTTACTGTCCAGGGTACCACCATCCTCCCAGTCACCCAGGCTCTTTACTCTCACTCACCCTACATACATAGTCAATCTTTTGCCAAATCCTGTTTATTCTATCTTCATAACACCTCTTGTCTACTTCTCCATCTCTCCACTCACACAGCTGCCATCCTGGTAACAGGTCCCATCATTTCCCATGTGGACTGTGGACTACTGTGGACTGTAGTCTTCTGGTTGCTATTTCTGCCCCAAGTCTCTCCCCATTCCCCAGTCCAATCCTCAGAATGATCTTCCTGAAGTACAGGTCTAACCACATCACTACCACCAGCACCTCCACCTGACCCCCACCCCTGTTCAACCAACTCTAGCAGCTCCCTATTACCTTCAGGATCAAAGATAAAACCCTCTGTTTGGCCTTTAAATCCCTTCCTAACTTGTTCCCCCCTACCCCCCATTCCAGTCTTCTTACATTTACTTGCCCCTATGCATTCTAAGATCCATCCTTCTTCTCATCCCTTGGACACAATACTTCTCCCACATCTTTTCACTGGTTGCCTTCCTCCTGATCTCTGACAGCTGGCTGCCTTCAAGTCTCAGCTCAAATTCTACCCACTGCAGGAAGCCTTTTCCTACCTCCCTCAATGGTAGGACCTTCCATCTCAGACTGTCTCCAATTTGCTCTGTACTTATCTGGATTGTGTACAGTTATTTACGTGTTTTCTCTCCCGTTAGAATGCAAGTTCCTCTAGGGTAGGGACTGCTTTTGCCTTCTTTTTTATGCCCAACACTTCTCAGAGCCTGACACACAGTAAGCTTAATAAATGCTTGTTGACATCATTTGATTTGGAATAGTGAGGAAATTGAGGGGATTAGGACAGCAAGTGGTTAATTATGGGAATTAAGTGAGCCATACTGACTTCATCTTATGACTCAATTCTGGAGCTAGCTTAGTTCCCTTCCTATTCAATTACGAGTCTAGTCTAATTTCTGTCCTGTGAGAAAAGTTTGTTTAATTGTGAGAATTGAGAGGAAACCTTATTGCATTGTTTGAACCTAGCCCTGCATGGCTGGGAAATTGGACCACCTCCACCTGCTGTTTAGAGATCCTTAACTATGGACTTAGACTATGCTGACCAAATTGACATGGTCAGGTCAAACTTTTTTTTTTCTCAGTGATTATCTCTTTCACCAATCATAACAGGTTACCAGAAGGTCAGTCAATAAACATTTATTAAGTGGCTACCATTTGCCAGGCACTGTGCTAAGTGCTAGGGATACAGAAAAAGGTAAAAGATAGTCCCTGCCCTCATGACAACCAATTCCTATAACTATACTTACCTTTATCCTCCCTAGTCTCTGCCTTCTTCCACAGTATAAGCTCTCTAAACTGCACATCCTTCTGAGTCAGGCCTTGTTGTCTTGGGGAAGTTATAACCTAACCTAACTGATACTCACAGGAGATGTTATGTAGGCGCCAACAGGCAAGTCTATTTCCCTAACACATTCCCCCTCCCTCTCCTAAATCACCTCACAGCTACAGTTGGAACCACTTGACCCACCTGGAGAGTAATGCAGTAAGAGCCTTGCCTCTCTTTCAGTGTCAGCAAGTTGGCAAGCCACCTAACTCACCTGGGCAGAGGGAGTTGTATGAGATAGACAAATTCGATCTCATTATGTTATTTTTCCTCTTGAACCTATACCTCTACCCCCCACCCCTTCCTTATTGCTATGGAGGCTATCAGGTTCACAACTTTGGTGTCACTTCTGACCCCTCAATCCCCATCACTCCCATTATCATATCAGTTGCCAAAGAGGATCATTTTTATTTCTTCAGTGGGGGGGGGATGGGGGGAGACACTATTGAGGAGGTGGAAGCAAGCAAAAGTTAATAAACAAAAATTAAAACACCTACAATGTCCTCCTTCTCTCTGAATCCTTACATTGCTTCAAAGCTCATCAGATATCAGACCTCTTCCATGAAGACTTTCCTGATCTCCCTTGTTACCGATGCTTCCTCCTTCCCTCAATTTTATTTTGCTCAGAGTATATTCCTCCCTTCTTCCTTCCCTAGTAGAAAGTAAGCTCCTAGAGATAAAAAACTGCCTCACTTTTAGCTTCATAACCACATCTCCCTGCACACAGTAGGTGTTTAATAAACATCTAATTGAATAAGACTAAAGATTTTTAATTAAGCCTATCAATGCTAACTGGGTTGTCATTTAAAGAAAATCTGTGAAATGTGCTTTGGAGAATAAAGTTTCTTTTAGAAATTTTATATTTTTTTCTCTTCAATACAGCAACTGTTTTACATTTTTGTAGATGAATAGAAAAAAGCACACATCTTACTCTTTGAAATTACATTTCATTTATTAATAATTCATTGAAATAAATTTTGTTTACTACTAGCTTGCTTTTTTTGTTTTCCAAGAAAAAAAATTGCAATTACTTACGTGGCTGGAATTTTAATTCTCCACCTGGCCCTGCTGGAGGTACTCCTTGTTGTAATTTCTTTTGTTCCATCTGTTGTACCACCTGGCAAATGAAAACAGTGAGAACTAAATGTGTGAAGGTAATAGTACTTTTCTCCCAGGGTTGTTATGAGGATAAAATAATATTTGTAAAATGATTTGCAAGCCTTAAAGCACTTTATCAATACTAGCTATTATTGTTATTATGTTTGGAAGAGAGATCTTCACTGGTGAAAACGCTCAACCCCTGCCCCACCTGGATGAGGCAACTGGATGTGAGGCAGGTACTGACACTCAAGGGCTGACCTGCTGGTATTCGTGTTTCTGGGCCTGGAGCTGGTCGTGCTGACGCTGGAGCTCTTCCTTTTGCTTCTGGAGGTCTTCTGCCTTCTGCCTGAGCTTGTGTTCTTGTTCGTAGATGTGATTTTCAAATTCTTTCAGCTCTTCTTCTGTGAAAAGCTGCTGCTGATCCAACGTCTATTAAAAAAAAAAAAACCACAGGACAAGGAAACGCCTGAGTTTTCTTGTAGAAAGAAGGGCACCACCATGAGGTGGAGAGTCAGAAGAGGCAAGCATTACGCTCCTCAAATGGTGACCACCGTCACAGAAGGAATCTTCTATGCACTGAGCAAGCAAGACTTCACAAAACTGAGGCTGCAGCGTGCTTCCTGCCAAGCAGGGGCAAAGTGAGACCGATTTCCAGACTAGCTAATACATCTACTTCTTTTGCTTGACTACTACTTGTTACAAGGGAGAACATCCATTTGGGCTAACAGGAGAAAGGAAGGAAGGAAGGGGAAGAGTAGGAAGGAGAAGAGGGAGGGAAGGGCAGGGGAGGGAAAGGAGAAGGGAGAAGAGAGAAGGGAGAAGGGGAGGGAAAAGGGAAAAAAGAGAAGAGAAAAGGGAAAAAAGAGAAGAGTTGGAAGAGGAAGGGGGAAGAAAGGAGCCTTAGTGAAATATTAAGAAATGCCTATGACAGAAGGAATTTCAGAAGAGGACACAGATAAGCAGGGTAGATTTATCACTATTGTATTACACTTAACATACACTTTTAAAAACTGTACATAACCAAAGGTCATGGTTTTAGATACAATACTATTTTCTGTTCTTTATATACTGAAATGTTTGTGTTTGTTAAATTTATTATTAAGAAAGGAAACTTTTTAAAAGGTGGCAACAATTTAAAGTCCCTTCTAGCTTTTAAAGTTTTATGATTTTATCACTCTAATTGTGTTTGAGGGGTAGTAAGACATAGTGGATTGAGTAGGAACCTTGGAGTAAAGGAAGCCTCAGGTTCAAACCCTGCCACTGACACCTGCATACCAGCTCTATGAGCCCAGCCAAATCACTGAACTGCTCAGTGGTCTGGAGGGCTCTAAGATCAAAAATTCCAGGGGACTGATAGAGTACATTAGAAAATCAGTAGAGGGAGTTTCCAAACTAGGAATTCCTCATACTGATGAAATCCCAGGTCCTGACTGGGGAACAACAGCAGCCCTTCTCTATGCCATCCTGATCACTAGAGGGCACTAGAAGGAGAGGATATTCCTCTGTTATCTTCCTTCACACCTTCTTCCTCATGTTTCAAATAATAGACAAAAGCCTCTAAGGTCAAAGAATCAGCCTCTCAAATATTATAAAAAATGTCTGAGTTGACAAATGTATACCTTTATTCAAAATTAGAGGCAGCTAGATGTTACAACAGAGAGGGCATCAGGCCTGGAGCCAGGAAGACCTGAGTTCAAATTTGACCTCAGATACTCACAAGCTATGTGACTTAGGGCAAGTCACTTAACCGCTGCTGCGTCCTCATCTGTAAAATGGAATAATAGTACCTATCTCCCAGGGTTGTTATGAGGATAAAATAATATTTGTAAAATGATTTGCAAACCTTAAAGCACTTTATCAATACTAGCTAGTATTGTTATTATATTTGGAAAATGTCAGATTCTGTTTATGTTGGCACAGTCCAGTATCTCTTTAAATTTATGTATGCTGATCTTTCCTTGGATCAGTAAGAGTAATTCTACCAGTTCACAAAAAATTGGTCTTCTATAAAAAGTCATTAAGTATCTAAATATAATACAAAAGACAAAAAGAGACATCAGTGAACATCTTGATGAAGTGAAGAAAAACATGATATAAGTCCACTTAAAACAGATATTACCTCCCAGCTATCTGGCTCCAAGAATTCTTTTTTCTCAGTAGCTTTTAGAAACTCATCCAAAGTTACTAACCGGTCCTTGTTAATGTCAACCTGATTAGAGGAAAACAGAAATATAACATTAACTTTGCCCTCCACCATTCAGACATTAGACACTCTCTTCTGCTAAGAAATACTGGAATACTATGTGACCTCTGGTGAGACGGGTACAAACTGGGGGAAAAAAAAACTAATCCTTTCTGTAACAGCAGTAGGACATCTTTCACTTCTTTACTGTGGAGCTCAGAATGATGTTGATTCTATTTGAGCTCAAAGGTTTCTTTAAAAGCCTAACCAAAACAAATTTAAAGGTGAGTACTTTTCATGATCTTAAATTTAGACTTTTCACTTAAGGTTTTAATCAAAAACTAATTTCAGATTCCTTCAACTTTTGATTATCTGTATTAACGACGGGAATATATGACCCTATAGTCACTACTATTTGGCACCTAGAGTTTAGTCTGTATTTATGCCTGAGTATGGTGATGACTGCTAATGTCCTGTACATAATTATGTATACACATGTCGTTCCCACCCCCAAAGAACATAGGTTTGCAAGAACTGCTTCATTCTTTATGTCTCCAAGACCTAGGACAGTGCCTGGCACATAGCAATGCTTAATAAATGCTTGTTGTTTGAATTCACTGCAAACCGAATAATGAAGAAATACTATGAAAACCTGCTACATGAGTTGCTTGAAAGCTTTTCTGTTGCTCAACTCAAATCTGTGAACACAAAAGACTCTCAGATTGAGGCAAAGCTTCAGGCTAAGAACAAGACACCCTAGGTCCCATGAAGGTAGGAGCATTGCCCCTCTCTGGGTTCTCACAGTGACGTGCACAAAACAGGTATTTAGTAATTATTTGTTACATTAAATTTTTGTATTTCTAAGAAAGGGAAGCTTCTTACACTCCAAAGTACAGAGTTCAGAATACCCATCAAGGGAGTAATTAAGATAAAGAAGTACTATCTGTAGAGTAAGATATCAACTAAGTGAATCACTATAGTTGTTATCTTCTTCCCAAACCTGCCCTCCCCCTAATTTCTCTATTCCTTATTGATGGCACTATCCTGTCAGTTATCCACACCCAAAACCTTAAGAGTTTCCCAACAATTCTTATTAGAGAAGCCATCATGGATCTGTCTCTGAGTCCTATGGATTCTACCTTGTCAATAGCTTTTGTATCACTAGCTCCAGTCGCTTATAACTTCTTATCAGGGGTATTATAACAGCCTCCTAATTTGTCTTCCTACCTCAAGGTGACCCTCTCTCCCATTCATCCTCCACACCTCTGCCCAAGTATCTTCCTAACATAGCCCTCTAATCAATGCCATATAATGCTGAACTTTCAATCTGGAGGATCTGAGTTTGCATTTTGCCTCAGACTCTTACTGAATGTATGATCATAGGAAACTCATTTAACTTTTTTTTTTTTTTTGAGACTGGATTTGAATGCAGGCCTCTTGACTCCATCCAGTGTGCCACCTAGCTGCCTGTCTTGATGGGAAGAAAATCTTTCTAATTCTGAGGCTAGCTTCTTTTTCTCTTTATTTTTTAACAATGCCCCTTTACTAATTAAAAATATTGTTCTGGAGCACTACAGAATCCCTGTACAATGTAGCAGTCAGTTAACAAGAATATTCAAGTGCTTACGACTGCAAGTCACTGGAATAATAATTCTAATAGGTAGCACTGATAAAGAGCTTTAAGGTTTGGAAAATCCTTTACATATACTATTTCATTAGATCCTCATAACAGCCCTGTGTAACCACAAGCCTAATCTGTACTTCAAGCACTCAAGGTGAACCAGGAGTCATTCTATCCACCAACGAAGAGTCTTCTGCAAATGCCCAAGCTTGAAATCCAGGTTATATCTACAAGGTAGATACTATTATTATCCCCATTTTTCAGATTAAGGAACTGAGGCTGGAAACTCACTTAACTTTTCAGAGCCTCAGTAGCCTTACCTATAAAATGGAGATGATCTTGGTACTAACAACCTCACAGAATTTCTAATGCTTTGCACATCTTAAAACTCTACATAAACATGTTATTAGTCTCACTTTCCCACTCAAAAACATTTAGTGGCTCCCTTTAACCTAAGAAAGAAGTCTAAAGCATTCCAGGTTCTCTTAAATCTAGCTCCAGACTACATTTCCAGTCTTGTGACAATCTTTTTCCATTCAAACATTAGGTTTTACACAAACCGAATTCCTCTATCCTGATTTTCATCCTCTATTCATGCCTTTTCTCAAGTGGTCCCCCATGTCTGACATGAACAATGCTCTCTCTTTGCCCCAAAACTCTTCATCACTCATGTCTTTTGTTGAAATTATTTCCTTCCTTCATGTTCCAACTCAATTGTCATCTGCTCCATGAAACCTTCCTTGACCATCAACCCTCTCCCCAAATGAAAATGATCATTCCCCTCCTATGTACTTCTGATAGCACTTTACCTTGAATCTCTCCTTTGTACTTAACTCAATCTACTATCTCTTAAGTTATTGGTGGATAGGTCATTTTACTCTATTAACCATAAGCTCCTTGAGGACAAGCATGTGTCATACCTATATTCATATCCTCAGTATCAAGCGCTTACTTTGATAATTTAGTGGTATAATCAAAAAATGTTGAATTTAGTTTCAGAAGATCTGCATTCACATCCTAGCTCTGCTATTTATTAGAGTTATGAACTGGGGAAATCTTTGCAGCTCTATGAAGCCTCAGTTTCCTCCTCTACAAAGCAAGAGGGTTAGTCTAGATAATCAGAGAGTCCTTCCAGCTCTCTCATACTGGAGTATCAGTGATTTCATTGATGTGCCCACTCCTTTCACCAACAGAGATGGCAACACCACCATACCTTAAGTGGACTACTTAAATGAGTTGCAGTACTATAAACATTCATCATCTCATGGCCAGTCTCTGATGACAAGAGCCTCTTTCTATATTTCGTCAGGCTGGCCTCCAATAAAGCGACATACAACTGGCCACTTTGACCTACCCTAAGTCTTTACAAGCTGCTAAAAGCTTCCAGAGGTTGGGTTCTTTTGACATATCTTACTGGAACCCAAGATTACTCTTCATACCATGATGAAGCACTACTTCAGTGAAAGCCTTGCAGATAGTAGGAATTTAACAAATGTGTTGATTTGTATTAAGTATTAAAAATCAGATTTAAATGAAAGAACTGAGACCCAATGGCAACATTCCTCTTTCCAAGATGACATCAAATCATTAATGCCCACTGTTTAGACCTAGTCATTCAACCAGTCCTGAACCGATCTAAGATGATATATCACCATCTAATCTATCTCTCTCTTTTCTATCTACAGCATTCCCTGATCTACCACCCTAATAACCTTGTCAAAAAGGAAACACAGTTAAGTATGGCCTGACCTTTTCTTGATGCAGTTATCATAGCCATTAGTGATCACTGTTGTTTTTTCTAAATGTTCACTACGTGTTTAAAGATATATTCTGGAATTTTGTTAGGAAAAGATGCCAAGCACTTAGCTTGCCTCTCTACTCTCTTCCCCTTTTTGAAAACTGGGAAGTTTGTTCATGAATTGTTGAAAAGAAAAGGCCCCAGTATTGCTTTTTTTTTCATTATCTGCCACTATTTTATTTTTAAATCTTATTTAATATTTTATTTTTTCCCAATTATGTGTAAAAACAATTTTAACATTTTTTTCAAATTTTGAGTTTCAAATTCTCTCCCTCCCTCCCTTATGGAGAAGGCAAGCAATTTGACATTGGTTATAAATGTATAGTCATATAGCTTTTTTTTTCTTTTAAGAGACAACATTTTTGTTTTCCTTAGCTTGCTTCACCAACTTCAGTTCATTCTAAGCATTTCTGACACAATTCCTATTGGACCATGCATCGCTTTTGTGTTCACACAGTGTTAGATTTATAGAAAATCAAAAATTTTAGACTGAAACTTGTTTCATATTCATTCGTCATTCCATATCATGACAATTTGTTCCAAGTACCAAGAACTTGGAAAGTTGCTGCAAGGAAGACATTTTCATCCAATCTTCACAGCATCACAACACAGAGTCAAACTTCTAAGCCGTACCTCGTTCATAACATGTTCCCTCATCCTAAGCCTTTCTTCTTCCATTTCCACCATGTCGTCCTCTTCATTTTTAGGGTCATATACTTTCTCTAACTAAAAAGAGGTTGGAAAGATCTGTATGAAAGTAGATGCAAAGTGAAATAAGCAGAACAAAGAGAACAATACAAATAATAAGTACAATGATGTAAATGAAGAGACCTCTAAAAGTAAATTAATTCAATTAATATAAGGAGGAGAAATGAAGGTACTGAGAGAAAACAAGGTATAGCTCTCTCATGACAAAGAGGTGGAAAATTACCAGAAGGGAATGTTTTTTCTTCATTGTTTTTCTGTGTCAGAGAAGAGACTTAGGAAATGATTATTGTAAAGACAAAAGATATCAATAAAACACTTTTTAATAAGAAAAGGCCCACAAAAAGAGGAGTAGGAGGAAAAAGGGAAAGCAACAAATAATAAAGAAACTCAATAAGTTCCATTTTTACCTCTTTGGTAAACAGGGCTTCTAATTCCTGCTCATCCAAGAAACCATCACTATTGACATCTAAAGTTTAAAAGTAACAAATGCAAAATTGTTTTTAATAAACTAGAACAGAAAATAAATCATTAAAAACACAGTTGTTTTATAATGGTTTTGAAAAGGCAGGTTTTGACATTCAGCCTAAATAGGATAGCTTCTCATTTTCAACTGAACCAAATTTCTTACTTTTACAAAGAATAAGATCCCCAGATAAGTCTGAGTCAGATAATGCAATGACTACTCGTAATTAAGAACAAAATAATTAAATGGGGGGTGGGACAGGATGAAGGAAAATATAGTTAGTTTTTCACAATATGGCTATTATGGAAGTGTTTTGCATGACTACACACATATAACCTGCATCGAGTTGCTTGCCTTCTCAAAGAGGGTGGGTGGGCAGGGAGGAAGGGAGAGAATGTGGAACCCAAAGTTTTAAAAACAAATGTTAAAAATTGTTTTTACATGCAACTGGGAAATGAGATATATAGGCAATGGGGTATAGAAATCTAACCTGCCCTACAGGAAAACAGAAAGGGAAGGGGATAATAGAAGGGGAGGGTAATAGAAGGGAGGGCAGATCAGGGGAAGGGGTATTCAGAATGCATGCCATCTTGGGGTGGGGGGAGGGGAGAGATGGGGAGAAAATTTGGAACTCAAGATCTTGTGGAACTGAATGTTGAAAACTAAAAATAAATTAATTAAAAATTTTTAAAAAAGAACAAAATAATTCTAAATAAGTCATCTTTCAAAAATTCTTCTTAAAAACTGAGCACATGGATAGAGGAATGCTATAGATATAAATTTCTCTTTCTAAGCTCTGATAGTAGAAATAATATTTAGTGTTCAATGTTTTTCAAATAATTATAACCAGATAAATTCATAGAATTATTCTGAGTTTATAGAGAAGGAAACAGTCTCAAGTTAAGTCACATAATGATACAAAATCAAAAGTTACTGACTTCCAATATTCTATATCAAGGTTCAGCAATAAAGACTATTCATTTTACTATAGGGGAAAAAACTGTAAAATTTTCAAAGTGACAATAAGACTCAACAAAAGGTTCTGGGTGACATATATGTACAGCAGTAGTGGTGTCAAATTCAAATACAAATGGGGCCACTAATCCATACATAAGGCCTCACATTGGCTTAGTTTTAAACTGTAATGTTATTTATCTTTTACTGTATTTTTACTTATTTTGTTAAATATTACCTAATTATATTTGAATCTGGTTCAGATTGCTCTCAAGAGTATTGTGGTTTGTGTGACACCTCTGATACAGCATAATTTAGTTTTCAATTTTTGCAAAAAGGATACACAAATATAATATTGATATTAAATTTGTTACCATGCAATTTAAAAAATGTCTTCGGGTCAAAGTCACTAGGATCCAGTCCATCTGTCTCCTCCCATACCTCTTTTAACTGGTCTTTGCTTCCCTAGAAAATTGATTTTTAAAAAACTGATGAGAAAATCAGGCATCAATCTTAATTACATTGGTGTCATAAGAGATATACAGTATTAAAAATCATTCAAGTATTAATACTATTAATTAATAAGTAATCCTTATTTCCTTGACAGCAAATATTGGCTATTTTATAAGATAGATCAAGGGTTTTCACTTAGCTAATGTTCCTAAAGCAACAATCCTTACTGGGTGGTTAACTTTTGGGTGATTTCCATGTTTCTTCTTCATTTCCTCAAATTTAGATTCTTCTTCATGCCTTTTTTCCTCATTCAATGTTTTCAAATATTCTCGCCTTTCATGCTCCTTCATCATTTCATATTTTTTAAATTCTTCATGGCGAGTCTTATCATAGTTTTCTAAATCACTTGTAGCCTAGAAAACAGTAAGATATTTTAAAACTGAAAGTCTACTGTTTAGAAATTAATTGAAATTGTTGAGTAAAATTAACCCTCAAATAATTTTACAGAAAAACTTAATACCAGTAAAACAATAAGATAAATGGTAAAATAGTAAATAATACTAAAACAAATAGTAAAATAAAGTTAAATTTACCATGTTTTATCCTCTAATTCTATAATTTCATTTTCAGATATTACCAGCCCTTACCATGCAGTCAACTGAGGCAACTGAAAAAAAGTTCAACTACAAGGAATATCCATGTAAATAAACCATATCTAAGAGGCTTAGGATGATCAAAATCAGGAGGCCAGGCTAAAACATGATTACTAACATCATGATAACTAGTGTTTATAAAATACTTTAGGATCTACAAAATGCTTCCTATTTGTTATTTCATTTGATAGAAAATCCCAAGTCTAGTATCATTATTATTCAGTCTGGAGTTTTCTCTTGGTCTGAGTCTACAACTTTTACTTAATTTAAATCCTATAAGGTTGCAGCTTTATTTCCCTTTGAGAAAGTACTACATCTTTTTTTTTTCTAAGTACTAAAAACTATCATTTTGATCAACAACCAAAAAATAGTTACTATAGGGTTCAGGCAATGCCACTGAAAAATAACATTAGGAAATAAAATAAAGACATAAAAAACTGGGCAGTCATACAAAGTAACCAAATTGAGGAATTAGAATACTTAGTTTGATAACAACATACAAGGAAATTATGTATTTATGCTATTTAAATATTAAGCTCCATTACTGGGCAAGATACCATAAACACTATAAAAAATATGGTGGCCAGCCTCTCTGAGCTTCTGCCAAATAAAAAGACCTCAGTACAATGAGACAGACAAGACTTGGTTTGGTACAGCATACTCACGGCTTTGATTAACATATCTAAGTCTGTTGGCTCAAACTTGTCAGGATTTTGATGATTTAGGTGCTCAAACTGTTTCAGTAGAGCTTGATAATCTATGCCTGTGTCTGAAAGAAAATGAAACAAATGTTTTTGGAGGTTGTTATTTGAAAACAAAAAACACAACTAATCTCAACTCAATCATCAAATGTAAAACAAAACTTCTACCTGTAAAACAGAACTATTCTACCTGCAATGCCTCCACATGCAAAGACCTTGCCTCAGCATGCCATTTGAAATATGATTTCCTTGCTCTTCAAGCATAGCTGATCTCCACACAAACCTTTGCTGATATTTGTAGAACTTGTAGCTAGGTCACTAGACTTTTGGCACAACAAAAGTGGTTTGACTTTTTTTTTTAATCAAGTAAAAAGATGATGCCTCAGTTTTAGTTCTTACAATTTTTTGAGGGGGAGAGAATCAGTCATTCAGAATTATTTCGTTCTCAAATCTGAGGATCTGTTCTTTGGAGATGTAAGAAACTTGATTACAGCTGAAGAATACAACTTGTCCCATTTAGGCTACATGTCAGCATATCGGTTCCTTTGTTTCTAAGAAACAAGAGGAACGTTTCAAAGCCAAAATGTTACAGATCAAATCAGAAGTCCCAATGCTTCTGGATTTAATTTGAGGTCTCTGGAAAATGTGGCATTTTGCTCATAATAATCAAGTATAGATTCTTATCAGTTTACTAATGATTACCAAAATGATATTTATGAAAGGAAAAAAAAGTTTTCTGACTAAGAAAGAACTAAGGAAGACAGACTGTGCTGCTATGCTACAAAAAACAGGCACTACAATTCATAGCAATATGACATTGATTTGAAAAAAGAATTCTAAAAAAGGAGAGGAAGAAGTTTCTTTCCTAGAAGCTGGATACTGTGCTACATGAGACTGAAGGTACAGTGTGGGAACAAATTCATATCTGCCCCACATGGTTCCATTTACAAAACATTTCTAATTTTTTGCACAATGTTACATTACTATACTAGACAAAGGATAATACTTTTTTGGTCAGTCAATAAATATTAATACTAAACACCTACAATGTGCCAGGCTCTGTGCTAAGCACTAAGGACACCAAAAAAAGACAATTCCTGCCCTCAAGGAGCCCCCAATCTAATAGAGAAGACAACAAGGAAACAAATATATACAAAGCGAACTATATACAGGATAAATCGAAAATAATTAACAAAGGGAAGACACTAGAATTAAGAGGATTTGGGAAAGGCTTTCTGTAGATGGTGGAATTTTAGTTGGGATGCCAAGGGAAATCAGCAGATAGAGTTAAGAAGAGAGAGCATTCCAGGCATGACAGCCAGCCAGAGAAAATGCCCAGAGTCAAGAGATAAAGTGTCTTGTTCATGGAACAGCAAGGAGATTCTTGTCATTGAATCAGGGAGGAAGGTATAAAAAAGACTGGAAAGGTAGGAAAAGACTAGATTATAAAGGGCTTTGAACACTAAACAGAAGATTTTATATATGATCCTGAGGCAATATGGGGCTATTGAAAATTACTGAGTAACAGTCAGATCCGTGCTTTCAGAAAATCACTTTAGTGACTGAGTGGAAGGTAGACTGGAGGAGAGATGAAAGGCAGGCAGACCCACCAGCAGGCTCTGCAGCAGTCCAGGTGTAAGACGATGAGGGCCTGCACTCAGACAGTGGCAATATCAGAGGAGAGAAGGGGGCACATTCAAGAGATGTTGCAAAGGCAAAATCTATGGGCCTCAGTAACATATTCGATATGGGGCATAAGAGATAGTAAGGAGTCAATGATGTCACCTAGGTTTTGAGCCTGAGGGACTGGTAGGATGGTACCGTACTATTGCCCTCTACAAGAGGCAAGCTAGAAGGGGGAGGGGGAAATTTTGGGGGAAAGATAATGAGTTCAGAGATATTAAGTTATCAAATAGTTTGTTCAAAACTTAAAAAGCAGAATAATCTTCCAACTCCCAGGCCAAGCCAGATATGCTGGTACCCGTATTCTTAATCTTCACTTGTCAAACATCATTGCCAAAGCATTTCAAACACTTTTTTTCTATAAGATCAAAATGTATATTTACATCAAAATTTTGTTCCTTTATTTAAATTTTATCTAAATAACATTTATTATAATTTAAATTCTAGTTTATCACTCTAGCTAGTATGAATATGTATATAGTGGGTTTTTTTAAGGTAAATTTTATTCTTTTACATCATAGTCATTTTCTGATTGATATACTCCCTTCTCTTACTGAACCCTCCCCTTATGGCAATGAAAAATAGTCAAATTACCTCCACAAAACTGCACTGGATAACATATCATGTCTGCAGCCTTCTGCACCCACTACTGACCACCTCTCTCCTTGGTCTCACCATCTGTTCTTCAGGACCAAGACTGGTCACGAACATTAATTTAAATTCACCTGCCTTTTCAGGGTTGTTTTCTTTCACATTATTATAATCACTGTATACTGTTCCACTGGGTGTATTTGCACTTAAGCATTTTAGCTTCAGTTGTTTACAGTATCTTTATTTCCCTTTCAAACATAAGGATTCCTTTATTTAAAAATAGACTAAGTTGACTCTTTTTCCCCAATAACTAACTATAGCATTTACTGTCTAGAATGATAGATGAGAACACCATAGAAGTGCATCAGCACTAAAAATATATGATGTATGAACAACAGGAATGTTTTGTGTGCTATGACATTAAATTTTAAAATGTTAAGAGTTAATATTTAACAATATAGCATTAAATGGCTATATTGATATATTCTAAACAGGTCATATGTGATATACTATGTTACACAGTAGATACAATCATTAAAGATTACTAGCTAAAACAAATCCCCACTCAAGTTCTAATGGGACACTTCATCATGGTGAGGAAGTAACCTGAGGTTCTTCCAGCTATTACAGATCTTATCAAGAGAAAAAGTCTTCAAGTATGTACCCACGAACAGAATGTGTGCTTCTGTGGTTCAGGGTCAAATTGAATTAGTATAGAAAGAGTCATTACCAGTGGAGATAGGTACTAGGAGGGGAACTCTGAACCACAGCAACTCATGAACAGCATAAACTAAAGCCAGTAGGGGTTTCAGTCTGTATCTGTGCTGGGAATGCCTACACCAAGGCATTAAAGGATATAGAGGTAGATGATCATTTGGAAATCTACTCCAAATTTCTATACTGATCTGATGTGACTTTGGAACCTCAGCTTACTTCCTCACCATGATGAAGTGTCCAATTAGAACATGAGTAGAGATTTGTTTTAGCTAGTAACCTTTAATTATTATATCTACTATGTAACATAATGTATCATATGACCTGTTTAGAATATTAATGTTTTAACTGAATTCAATTTTTTAAAAATATGTAGGCTACAATAACAAGGATTGAATTCAAAAAGTATCTTGTTAAAATTAAATAAAAAGATATACTTTTGGAGATTTCTTACTTCTAACAGAGTAATCAAAAATAAAACTCCCTTAAGTAATTCTTGGTGATGAAAAACGATTGCTATTTAAAGAAGAAAACGGGATTCCAACCAACAACATGGATTCAAGTTAGCTGAAACGCTTATCCATTTCAATTAATTTAACTTGTACAAAAAAAATCTAGTGAAAAATTAAGTTTTGGCAGTTGAAATTATTCTTTATTTTTCACCAATCAGGAGGCATTGTGACACAGTACAAATATCAATGACTGGACTGGGTAAGAGAGCTTTGGAGGTCCTTGCACTGAGATTTCTCTGATTTTGTGAACCAAACCAGTTCTTAAACTAAATCAAGTCTAGGATAGTATTGAGTATTCTAATAGAGATAGCCCTAGAATTAACAAATTATGAATGGACATTTTATCAATCAAATGATAATTTTTCTTGACCTCTTCTTAGGTGCTTACCTTGAATGGAATCCAATTTAGCTTTAATTAGCATTCTTAATCTTGCCACTTCCTGTCTCTTTAGCTCATCAAGTCTTGTCCTGACATGGTGACTTACTAAATCAAGTTCTTTGCTTAGTTTCCCACTCTGTTAACAAGATAAAGAAATTAAACTATAGTCGTCAAAGCTCAAGTAACAATAAAAGTCAGATCATTATATCAAACCATTCATATAAGTAATTCTAACAAACTTTGATATCTTTAACAATGATAACACCTGAAAATATTACCTTCAGATTACATTAATTAGTAAAAAAATCAGATTACAAACTAAAGAATTCAGAATAGGCAAAAATTAAGCTCGAAAAGAGAGACAAGGATATGCCTTGGCTCCTCAAAGCATGAGTCCCTTGAAATATTATTTGAAGTAAATAACTTCAAATTTCAAATAAATTTTTGTTTTCTTCGAGTGTTTTTATTTCTTAAACACAAAACATACATGCTCCATAACCTTTCAGACAGAGCTAGTCATATTTTCTCTCTTGTCCATGCTCCCATAAGCACAATTTTCAACCCCAGCATAACACCATTATTAAATGCAAAAAATTTTTAACAGCAATGAAGGCACCTGACTCATTTTGCAAACAATGATGAAACTATGCCAGCAGCATTTCATTTTGTGATGATCAGAAACACCTTTAACAAATGTTCACTAAATATAAAGGAAAAGGTTGATTTACATATCCAAGAATAACACACTGCCAGAAAGATATTTTTCCATATTCACTTTTAATTTTGCCTCTTTGCTGTCCCTTCATTTGATCTCAAGAATTTTGTTATCAAAGAATTTTATCAGATCAAATTAAAAATTTTCTAATGTTTTCCCATAACATTTAATTCCCTAATATTCAGGGGAAAAAAATTAACGTTAAAAAAAATTCTTCAAGGAAAGATTGCTCAGTATCAAGGACCAAATTGTCTGCTCTTCCAGGTAACTATCATGGGGGTAGAAAAGAGAATCAGAAGACATGTACTTTGTAGTCAAATAACTTAGGATTCCAACTCAAGATAAACAGGGTGAGATGGAATTGATCTAGTAAGGTTTCCCAAAACAGCTAAATTTTAAATTAAGCCTTGAAAGAAGGGATAGATGTGACTGAATTGATGCAGAGAAGATAAATTCCTGATGAAGTATGCTGGGTGTGGGCAAAGATCTGTATAACACAATTGAGAGACTGGTTTGGCTCAAAGGCAGAAAAGCTCATCCTGAACAAAAAATTAGGTACAAACATGTTAGAGGGCTGATTCAGTTAACGGTGGGCCAAGTACCAGGCTGAGTTTAGATTTGATACAATAATCACTTGAGTATGGGAAATCCAGCTTTGTCTATAGCTAAACTATAAAAAAATGTACTTCATTCCCACTCCTAGAAGGAGGGCAGGTAAGAAAGTATAATACTTTATGTAGTGGCTGTAAAGACTTCATTTGGTAATAGGATTTGAAGCACCTAAAGGCAAATATATATGTTCATTTGGCTACATCTGGAATCCTCAGACAGACTGTGCATTCCTGGAACTCTACCCTGTGCTTCTTTACATTTCCCATACAACACCTAGGACAAGGCCATGCTCACAGCAGGCATTCAACAAATACTTATTGAGATCCAATCATTTTGGAGAGCAATTTGGAACTATGCCCAAAGGGCTATAAAAATGTGCATACCCTTTGACCCAGCAATAGCACTACTAGGTCTGTATCCCAAAGAGATCATAAAAATGGGAAAAGGACCCATATGTACAAAAATATTTATAGCAGCTCTTTTTCTGGTGCCCAAGAATTGGAAATTGAGAGGATGTCCATCAATTGGAGAATGGCTGAACAAGATGTGGTATATGAATGTAATGGAATACTATTGTGCTATAAGAAAAGATGAGGGGCAGCTAGGTGGCATAGTGGATAGAGCACCAGCCCTGAAGTCAAGAGGACCTGAGTTCAAATCTGGCCTCAGACTAAACACTTAACACTTATTAGCTGTGTGACCCTGAGCAAGTCACTTAACCCCAATAGTCAGAAAGGAAGGAAGGAAGGAAGGAAGGAAGGAAGGAAGGAAGGAAGGAAGGAAGGAAGGAAAGAAAGAAAGAAAGAAAGAAAGAAAGAAAAAAAGAAAGGAAGGATGGATGGATGAGCAGGGAGACTCCAGAAAAACCTGGAAACACTTGTACGGACTGATGCTGAGTGAAGTGAGCAGAACCAGAAGAACATTGTACATAGTAACAGCCACCTTGTGCAATGACTAACTTTGATAGACTTAGCCCTTCTCAATAATGCAAGGATCTAAAACATCTCCAAAAGTCTCATGATGGAAAATGCTATCCACATCCAAAGAAAGAACTATGGAGGTTGAATGCAGATTGAAGCATACTATTTGCTGTCTTTTTTTTCTTCTGTTTTGTTTTGTTTCTTCTTTCCTGTGGTTCCTCTTATAGGTTCTAATTCTTCTTTACAACAAGACTAATGTGAAAATATGTTTAATATGAATGTACATGTAGAGCTTATAACATATATCAGAGGGAGATGGGGAAGGAGGGGAGAAAATTTAAAACTCAAAAGCTTTTGGAAGTAATCGTTAAAAAGTAAAAATAAATTAATTAATTTAAAAAAAACCAAATACCTATTGAATACCATTACACAAAAATATTTTCCAGAACTGCTCTAACAGCAGAACCAAAGATAACTAAAACCAATTTAAAATTTAAAGTCATCATAGATATGGCATAGCTTTCCTTGCCTAATGAGTAGAAGTGAATTATAAATCTGGTATGCAGTAATTGTTTCTCCAAAGCATTTTCCTATTTCCTGTTATTATTTCCAGTCTTTATTCTTCTCCAGGCTCCACTTTTCACCCTCCCAATTTTTTCTACCATGCCACAGTAGCCTTCGATGATCAAATGAAGGGGCAACAAAGAGTCAAAATTAAAAGGGAATATGGAAAAATATATTTCTGGCAGTGTGTTACTCTTGGACGTATAAATCAAGCTTTTCCTTTATGAACGTTTGTTAAAGGTGTTTCTGATCACCACAAAATGAAATGTTGTTGGCATAGTTTCATCATCACTCTGACTCTGGCCCTCTTGCACTGGAAGTAGGATCTGCCCCTCCAGCCCTTTCCTCTGATTGGTTGGTTCCTCCCAATGCCTCCATTTTAGCAAAGGCCCAGACTGGCCATGTCTTCAACTCCTCTTTGGGCTGCACTTATGCCTCCCCGTCCCAACTCCTCAGCTCCCTTTTATATATTGTCTTCCTCCAATAGACTGTAAGATCCTTAAGGTCAGAGACTATCTTTCTGTTTGTATATCCCTGGCACTTGGCATAGTGCTTGGCTCAGAGTAAGTGCTTAACAAATTCTTTACTTTACTATCATAGATTTTTAAAAATTGGGATCTCATAAAACAGATTACTCCTCCAAATGAAACAAACTTGGTCAAGAACTTCCTAAAAGTTGGTAAACTTTATCTGTTGTAACTTGTTAATAATCTGTGATGATTTATTTTACTGAGAAACATGTTGACATTAAAAATAAATTCAGTTTTAAAGTTATTTACGCTTACCTTGATTTCCTCTATGTCTGCATTCTGGAGCTTTTCTCTGAAATGTTTGTCTGTTTCCAACACATCAATCACTTGCCTGAGATACTCATCATAATATAGTCCAGTATCCTTCAAATTAACAAACAATATTGGTTCTTTCAAAATTTTTCCAAAAAATAAAACTGAAAAAAAATTGAAAAAAAAAAAAAACTTTTCCCTTCAAGTATCAGTTTTAAAATAGCAATTTAAAACTCTTCTCTCCAAAGAGCTTCATCATACTTTTAAAAACTATTGAAGTTGTATTACAGCCACCACATTATAATGCAGAATGAAATGTACTATCTCATTATAACTACTAAATTTCAGGAAACTGCAGACTATTACATAGTATACTGACATAGTCATGAGAGTAAAATAATCACAGCATTATCGAGATAGAGCTGGTACCTAAGGTCATCCAGTCCAACCCCCTCATTTTAAAGATGAAGAAAGTGAGGTTCAGGAAGTTTAAATGACTTGCCCAAGGTCACACAGGTAATAAGTATGAGAACCAGAATTAGAACCCAAGTCCTCTTGACACCAAAGCGCTAATACCCTTTCCATTGCACAGAAATCATTTTCCATGCTATTTGTCCACACTATGCTAGAAGAATAAAAGAATCTAGATTTGCACAAGCCAATAGAAGTATAACATTTCAAGTATTCTTTTTCCCTCTTCATACTAAAGTGGAGGAACCCTAATGTTATCTGCGATCAGCAAGGTAAGAAATCTGATGTTTTGACTTCTTCCAGTCTGTTTGCTCATCTGAAAAATGGGGATAATTTACAACCTGCAAAGGTTATTGTGAGGACAAAATGGCATAAGATTTACTAAGTGCTCTGCTAACTTTAAAGCACTACATAAATATTTGTTATCATTATTATTTCTCTTAACCAGGAGTCCATGAAATTGTTTTACTTTTTTAAAATATTTTGATAAATGTATCTCAGTATAATATCTCAATAAACCAATAAAATTGGAATTGGTTTAAAAAAGAAATCTGATGTTTGTCTCTTTAGAATAGCTCCAACTACAGATAGTATCTCTAAGTCATGTTTGCTTTCCTTTAACACCGCATACATGCCCAACTTTTAAAATTAACTTTTTTAAAAATCTTTCCCTAAATTGAGGACCAGTTTATATCTTGAATAGACTGGCAGCTGAGGTTTAGGAACAGTTACAGCTCCTGAATCACAGAACTTCCATCAGCCTGCTGCTTATACAGCTGCAAAAGAAGCTAACACAGCTGCTAATAGTATAATGGGCAACAGTAAGAGATGATTTCCTCCCAACAGCAAGCTGCTAAAGCAGCAGGCTCAGGAAGGCTCTTCTGCCCTTTGGCAAGAGTAACTAAGAACAGCAGAAGATGAGAGCCAATCAACAAAGAACGAAAGTAAAGGTCAGATTGCTGTTGCTCTATGTACCCAATGGCCTTAATCTCCATATTATATAGAGAAAATAATGAAGATATAACCAATGAAGCATACTTGCTACTCTCTCCCCATCCACTGTCACCATTTCACTGGATGACAATCTAGTGGAACAATCGCTACACTACCTGTTCTCAATAAACCTGAAATAATAATATTAAACATCTGTCAAGCATTCTATGCATTCTCATATTCAGGGGTATGCTCTCAACAAAGCCAGAAAGAAGAGTTTTTCAGGGTTTGCTCAGTGATGATCACTAAATTCAAAACCTGATATTTAATAAATTGAAGATATTAGTAATGAATGCAACGGCTTCAATTTTTTCAGGATTAACTATGTTTGAATTGTAATAGAATTCATTTCACTTACTGGAGTTTCTATTTTTTCTCCTTCCACATTAGGAATATCTTTTACTTTTGTCTTGTCTATGTCTATAGGCACAGCTTCTAAACCAGTCAGGAGACATGTAACTAAAAGAAAATAACACTGTAGTTGTATGGTTCTCCACCACATCTGAAACAAAAAAATAAATTACAATAATATTCCAACATATCTTATAATATTTCAATGCATATGCCATAAGATCAATGCATATATTGTAAGATATTTAAATTGCATTAATAATTGAAGAACTTGGATGAAATTTTTAAATTGGCTGAGGATTTTAAAAAAAATTTTATTAGTCATCTGTTTTTACATTATTTTCATTTCCACATTTATCCCTCTTTCCGCCTCTACCCTGAGCCATCCCCTATAACAAAAGGAAAAAAGTTCAGCAAGATTAACCAACATATCAAAAAAGTCTAACAATATATGCAACATTCAACAACCATAGGACCTTACCCTCTACAGAGTAAGTACAGAATCCCTCTTCTCTAGGGCCACCCTTAGTCACAATTACAAAATATTCAGCTTTTTAGAAGTTATTCTTTGCATTTACACTGTGGTAGCTAAAGTGTGTGTTGTTTTCCTATTTCTGTTTATTTTAGTCCGCATCAATTCACATGTCTTTACATGCTTCTTTGAATTCTTTGTTTTCATCATTTCTTATTCCATTACATTCATATCACAATTTCTCTGTCCATTTCCCAATAAGTGGGTTTCCAGTTCTTTGCTACAGCAAAAAGTGCTGCTATTAATAGTCTGGGACATGTGGGATCTCTCTTTGATCTCTTGGGGCTAAATACAGGCAAAGAAAATTTAAATGTGGTAAATCAATATTTTGTTAAAGTAATGCTTTAAGTAGATAACAGACTAAAACCATGGGAGTGAGGGTTTCCAAATAAAGATACCTATAGCAAAAAATTGTTCAAATCACAAGCTTACATAGTCTTTCCCTGCCTCACACATGTAATTGGTCCTTGAGAACAAAAAAAAACCCTGAGAAGCCAATTCTCTTAAGTTGAAAACATAATCACCATTACTTTCAAAGAGTCAAATTTTTATGTGTTTCTGAGCCCCTAAATTAACACTCATTTTTTTTTTTTGGTGACAACAAAGCACAGCCCAATAAAATGGAGAGTGAGATTAATAGTTACTATTAGTTATAACACAGTTCTAACAAGGTCAGGTGAAATGCATATTGATCGTCTAAAAAATAAGTCAAACTGAAATGATCACATTTTCAATTCAAGGTATTCAGCTATTCAAGAGGGATGCAACATGAAAATCAATCCTCATAAATGTGAAGAAATGCCTCATAAGCCAAAGTAGGAGTGTTTAATGAAATTCTTTATAAAGCTGAATTCTCACAACCCAAATTTGTGCTTACTATGAATACAGTCATACAGTCTTGTGGCATGACTATGTCACAAGACTTCATGCTACTCTCCGGAGACATGTAAAAGGGTCTAAGATTCCATATGTGCCAGGGCTTTTTGCTAATCAATCCTATGCAGACATTCCTATGATAACCATTCTTATGCAGGTATGATAGTATAGAGTAGTAGATCAAACTCAAATAGAGAAGTAGTCCTGCTGCCACATATTGACTTAGAAAACCACAAATTAACATTAACTATGGTGTATTGTATTTTTTTTTTTTACATTTTAATCTGGTTCACTCCAGAGTTTTGCAGGGAGTCTGACACCTCTGATGTATACACCAAATCTCCAAATCCTCTACCTGCTACTGTCTCATAACCTTACTAATTCTTCTCATTGGGTTCAACAGCAATCAAGGGATATATTCTACAACTATAAAATAAATTCCCACATACACAGAAACTCTCATTAATTAGCTCCAAGCCTCCAATCTGATTTATAAAAATCCTCTTTCCATAAGCTTTCTCTCATCTCATTCTCAAACCCTAATTTCATTAGCTTAGAAAAATATCAATGTTACTGGTTAGGTAACTTGTTAACAGTAATAAATGAAGGGGGGAGGGGAGAAGATAAATGCTTCTACAAAGTGTCAGCCATGAAATGATCATAGCCATAGTACCTCTCACTGCTGACTCACTCTTAACACAAGAAGCATAGTCCAACAATTCAGTTCTTTGGGGACTCTCACAAAGATGACAGTTAGCTATTGTAGTTTCTCACAGATTCTTTTTCTACGACAGTTAAATCTCCAAGACTCCACAGAAATGAAGTCCTCCCAGTCCTCTCTCACAGTTTCTTCCTACAAAACGGAAGTTAACTATCACCAAGATTCTATCAAAAATAAGAAATGAAGAAAAAAGTGATGTTATAAGTGACGATATGGCCAAGAATGTAGTGTTTGACGATAGGATTTGGACTTCTGGATCACAGCTTACCATAAAGGACTTTAAATTTAAGAGGAAGGGGGAGGTAGGTGCAGAGAAAAACTACATATGTATAATGCCCAAGTTGGATACTACAGAGAGTAGCCTCGAAGATGGAAGAAAAACAGCTAGGATATCCACGAATTGATAGAAGACAAAATCCAAGAAAGCAGTCAGTATTAAAATCCATAGGTTCAAATGTCTATACACAAATTCTGGGAGTTTAGGCAACAAACAAGAGTAATTAAAGGTTCTAACTTAAGGGGCTAAATTCAACCCTATAAGTTTCACTAAGATTGGTAGAATGAAACCTAGGATAGGACTATGGATCTGAATAGGCATACCTTATTTAAAAGAAACTGAATAGGTAAAAGGCGGGCTGGGGTAGCATTATATATTAAAAAGGTATACTCATGTGAAGAAATCCAGGAACCAGAGAGGGGAAGTAAGACAGAGATTATTTGGATGAATGCCAAAGAAGAAATAAAAGCGATTTTTAATAGACATATAGATTTAAAGAACATCTATACTGAAAGAGGAAATAGTGAAGAGTGTGTAAAACAGATTACAAGTCTGGCACAGAGGCCGGATTTGGTGGTGATGAGGAACTTCAATTAGACAGCCTCTACACGGACATCTGTAGGTAGCTCTCTCTACCCAAAAAAGCAAAGCAGTTAACAGCTACTTGATTTGCCTTAGTTATAATTCTGTCCTTCAAAAAGTGGAGGAACCAACAAGGGGACATTCTCTTCTGGATCAGATTCTCACTAACAGGAAGAACTTGCTGCTGAGATGGAAACAATGAGAACCTTGGGACAAAATGACCACTCTATCTTAGTTTGTGAGAGAAAAGAGGAATCTCGGCAATGTATGACAATGCACCCGAGATTTTAGGAAAGCAGATTTCAAAGGGCTCAGAGGATCCTACCTAGGATCGCATGCAGTAAAATGCTTCAGAGGCAGTTAACTCAGGATGAAAATGCTCGAGAATGAAATCCTGAAGACACAAAGGGAAACAATTCTACTGAAGAGAAAAAATGGAATTTGTTCAAAGAGACAAATGTGATGCAAAGAAAATTTGACAACTAACTTAGATCAGGCTTTAAAAAAATAAATGTAGAGAAGATACAAGCAAGGCCAGGCAACCAAAAATGAATATAAGAACCTGGCAGTCTTGTTTAAAAAAAAAAAAAGCATCAAGAATGCTAAAACTCAGAATGAGCTAAGGCTGGAGAGCTAAAGACAACAAAGACTTGAAGTTTTGTTTTTTTTTTTAGCTATATTGAGAGAAAAAGGAGTCTTAAGACAGGAATGGGAACTTTGCTTGGGGTGGAAAGAATGATAATGGGTTTAAAAAAAAAAAAAACAACCTGGCTGACTGGGACTTCATACCCAAGATAAGCTAGAAGAATATGAGGGCATACCAAACCACCCTTGATAAATTTGAGACTCCTAGCCCAGACAAACAACATACTCATGTCCTGGAAGAACCAGCAGATGTAATTATAAGCTAGTGTCAGTATTGTCTGAAAGATCATGGAAAACTGGAAAGGTCCCACAAGATTGGAGAAAGGCAAATGTCTTTCGGATTTTCAAAAGAAAAGCAAAGAGAACACAGTGTAAAATATAAGCCAGTAAAACTTCCCTAGGGAAATTTTGGAACACATCATTAAAGATATGACTTAGAACATCTAGAAATGAAGTGGTGATTAAAAAGATACAGCATGGCTTCATCAAAAACAGATCACTGATTAGCCTACTTTTCTTTTTCTTTAACAAAAATACTAAACTAGTAAATGAGGAGAATGCTATGGGTATAGCTTTAGCTAGATTTTAGCTAAGTTCTTGATAAAGTATCTCACGTTATTCTTGTGGAAAAGGTAGAACAATACAGATCAGGTGAGGGATTCTTAACCTTTTTTATGTCTCAGACTTTCAGCAGTCTGGTGAAGCCTAAGGACCTCTTCTCAGAAAAATGTTTTTAAATGCATAAAATAAAATGCATGAGATTAAAGTGAGTAAATCAATGAAATAAAGGTGTAATTTTTCTCCATGCAGGATCACAGATCCCATGAAATCTATCCATGGACCACTAAAGGGTGTTAAGAATTCTTGGATTAGATACTAATTCAATCAGATGGATTCAGAATTAGTTGGATAGCTAGACTCAAAGAGTAGTCAACTAGTTAATGACAAAAGATCTCTAGGAGAGTATCTCAAATATCTGTGCTGGGCCCTAAACCAGGGGTGGAGAACCTGGGCCTCGAGGCCACATGTGGCCTTCTAGGTCGTTGGGTGCAGCCTTTTGACCAAGTCCAAGCTATACAGAACAAATCTTTTCATTAAGGGGATTTGTTCTGTGAAGTTTGGGTTCAATAAAGGGGCTGCATTTAAGGACCTAGAGGGCCACAGGTTCCCCACCCCTGCCCTAAACTGTTTAACACTTTTATCGATGACTTGGATGGAACATGGTCTGCTCATCCAATTTGTGGACAGTACCAAAATTAGAGGGATAGCTAAAACATGGGATACAGAATCAAGATCCAAAAGGATTGTGACAAGCTAAAGTGTTGAGCTGAACTGGATAAGATGAAATTCAATAGGAATAAATGTAAAATATTGCACTTGAAGTCAAAACTTAACTGCACAAATATAAGATGGGGAAGGTAATGTTTTAGTTAAGACAGTAGTTCTGAAAAAGTCATGGGAGTTTTAGTGAACTTCAAATTCAAAATGAGCCAGCAGTGTGATATGATAGTCAAAAAA